TAATATTAATAATTACATCCAACATTTTTAAAAAGAAGCATAAACTCCAACTCCCCAGTAAACCGTTTAAATTATATTAAGTAGGAAAGGTTGGATTATTCATGCATTTATATGAAGAAACCTTTGGTGGCGAGACAATCAAAGATTTGATGACTTTTAGGATTTGAGGCAACTTCAAATATGTTAAATTATGACAAAAAGTGGGGACTTTTCCCTTCGTAAAAAGAGTTGTTGATAAGCAGAGAGCCTTGAGGAATGTGAGCTAGGGTTTTACTGTAACACTAATTAAAGTTGTTTAATTTTCTGCAACGTCAACGAGTTATGGGCAATTAATTTTAATTAATGCCTCTGTTAGTGGTAATTAGACTCACAACAAGATAATCGGTAAAGATTTTTGAATTTAAAAAAAATCAAGCTATGGAAGAGTGTAATATCAACAAGTGTGTTAAATTTCATGCTGATATTGGCTTTAATAGTGAGGTGGAAACAGAATGAAAACAAACTAGATTGATATTTTTCATCACTTATTACAGGTTAATCAGTAAAGATTTTACAACACAAATTAGTTATTTATGTAGAAAAGAGATTAAACTTTTGATTGAGGGTAAATTTGAAAATTTGATTTTTGAAATATTGAGGGCGCTCTTTAAGGGTCAGTGCTACCTAAGTAACTAAAAAGTTAAACCTTCTATAAATGACCTCAGACTTGGGCAGGTGGTAAAGATGTACGATACTAGATTTGATAAATAATTTAAAGTCTACAATAACATGTTTATATTCCTTATTTTGATTTATTTTAAATAATGTTTAATGTAACTACAAGTTCCAAATTTTGTTTTGTGCAATATTCACCTCTTTGGGAAATCTCTCTCGCACGCACACAACAAATTGCTTCAGTTCATTGTTGTCCAGATCTGTGAAAAATATAATCATAAATAAATAAACAATTAAATTCTATAGGCATTCAGTAACTTCAAGCATTACTCATGGAAGTGGTTCTAAAACACTAATCTTTGGTATATTTAGTGTACGTCAAATTATGTGCAAATAATTATAAAAGCTCAAACACTCTTATAACTGCTACTGCTGTTGTTACTATTATTATTATAAAGTTATACTTATGCATTTAAACCAACATTCTGTCCTATAATAGTACAATTAAATATAATTTTTATTATTTCATGTATTTTAAAAAATTAATTTTATATTCATATGTATTAATGAAAGGTGATTATTAGGATGGATAGCGTCTTAGAGACCTTACAAAGACTGGGGTCGGTATTTACTTAGGAAAATATCGAAAGCCTACAACAGAACAGGAAGAGATGTGATTGAAAGATATACTAGAAACGTAAAACAGCATGTGTATAGACGTGGAGTCAGTGAAATATGGAAATAAGTTTGTTTGTTTGTTTTGAATTTCGCGCAAAGCTACACGAGGGCTATCTGCGCTAGCCGTCCCTAATTTAGCAGTGTAAGACTAGAGGGAAGGCAGCTAGTCATCACCACCCACCGCCAACTCTTGGGCTACTCTTTTACCAACGAATAGTGGGATTGACCGTCATATTATAACACCCTCAGGGCTGAAAGGGCGAGCATGTTTGGTGTGACGGGAATAAGACTACAGAACAGGAATAGACGTGGAATGAGTGAAGTACTGATGACTTACTATAGAACTGTGACAGTATTATGCTGGATGTATGAATTGTTACTTGCTACAACATGAAGCGAATACTAGATGAAAGTTTTGTGACTTACAACAAAATATTGGCAATTCATGACTCCTCGCAAGAATCAGAGAGGCTGAAAGAACGGCGAGAGTCAAGAAGGTCTTCATTATGGACTTGCTGGTTTGGTGACGATAGTTGGACAGAGTTATCTACTGGGTATGTTTTTATAAGATGTTTAATCAATTAATACATGGAAAAAGTTACTTAATCTCTGAGAAACGTGCATCACATTCACCATCTGTTCTTATTACTGACTGTCACAAATTATCTTATGTCTAAAGGTCGTTGTAGTTCTGGCAGGTGACCAATTTTCTACAGTCAGAGAGCTAGTGATATGGTTAAAATTAGATTAGAGACACTTTCAGTTATTTTTTTACACTTAAAACTTTACCGAAGTTTAAAACACTTTAGTATAGTTTTAAGTATCCATTATCACACTGCGAGTCGCATCTTCTTGTGCCAATTCTTCGAAGTTTATCAAGAACATATTTAAATCAACTTCAGAACTTAAAACTTATCTCTTTCAATCACAAAACTTGAATATGGATGTTATTACTACATATCTCTCATAGACACAAGAAAAGGAGACGAATGTTGATGGCTGTATTTTTATATGATACAGAGAAAGTAACATTAGTAGTTGTGTTTTGTATTCTCCAGATAAATCACAATCATTTTACTAACGGTATCCTAGAAATAATTCATTCCTACATACTATTTACATTCTGTATACAGTCATACACTACTAGTATCCTTGACACATTCGTACATACTACGTATATTCTGTATATTCATACACAAAACTCTCATACATACTACTTATATTCTGAATATTGTCATAAAACTACTGATAATCTGTATACAGTCACATAAACACTACTGGTATCATAGAAACATCCATATCAATCCTGGTAATAGGGATACTGTAACGCACACTACATATATTTTGTATACAGCCATAATAGAACAACAGTCATGCACAAACTGCAGGTAATCTGGATACAGTCATACACGCTACTGATATCCTAAATACATTCATATAGAATACTTAACAGTCATACACGCTACTGATATGCTGGACATATTCGTATGTGTTAATAATATTCTGAATACAATCACATACACTAGTGGTGATGCGGATACAGTTATATACACCATTTATACTTTGAATAAAGTCATACACAAACTAATTGCTCCCTGAAGACAGTCACACATACTACTAATATCCTAAATACATTCATATAGAATACTTAGAACAGGGAAACACGCTACGAGTAATCTACATACAGTCATATGCAGCACTAGTATTCTAGATACATTCGTTAACAAGTAAACAGTCATTTCTACTAATGATATTTTGGAATGGTGTTTTCATTATTATTTTATAACAAACTGTTGGTCAAACAAGCAATCATTCTTCGTTCTTTGAACTTTCCGTTAATCACTGTGTTTACTAACAATAAATTAGAAAATAAAATAATAAAGAAAGTGAAAATTTTCATATTTTGCAAAGCATGTTTTAAATTTTGACAGATACAAAATAATGTCTATCAATGATTGAAATTCCTAAAGAATTATCGCTTTAATCAAAATTGAGATATATTTTAACTCAGGCTCACATGATATAGTAAGTTCAACAGTATATGATTAGAGAAATCGGCTAGCTCGAAGAAAAAACAACAACAACAACTACCAAACAAACAAAATAACAGTAGTAATATCTTCTTGGTCATGTAACCAGCTGAAGTACATATCATAAACGTCACGACCAATTCATGAATAATGTCATGGTTTGAGAAACTATGCACACAAATATCAATGTTTAAATACTTCTTATCGTGAACCCCTGGTGATTAAACAGTGAGTCTTAGCACTTATGGTGGTCAAAGCTGGTTTTCAATACCCGCAGATAGCCTATCATGTGGCTTATGTGCTTTAACAATAAACAACCAAGTGAACGATTGCCTTCTGTGATTTTACACTACTAGCGCCGCTCGTGGGCATTCAATTAAATAATTTTAAGAATTTATAATACAGAAATGTTTAGGATATTACTTAGATAGAATTCAAAATGTATATTAGGAGTTAAATTTAAAATAATTTCAAAAATCATAAGAATACTGTTTTTGTACTGTAACTGGCCTAGCAAAGATGAAAAACAATCCGTCACGAGTTTTATTTTGATTATAGAAAATAAAGTAGACATAGCGAATTTCCAAGAATAGATTATAATCATATTTTCACGTTTAATCATTTAAGTAATAAGTCTCGGCTTCAAACAACACAACTAAATGATTTTAATAAAGAAACATAAATATCTGTTAATGCTTTGGGGTGTAGATTCTATGTAAATAGTAATCACTACCATCTGTAGAGGAACTTGTTAAACTATTTACTTATTAACTTGTCTGCTTGCATGTATCTATCTACATCTGTTTGTCTTTATAGTTTTTTTCTTTTGTTACGATGTTTAAGTTTGACAGAAAAACGTAAGAAAAGGTGTTTTAGAAAAATAAACAGAACAACGATTTGGACTAAAAGTTTCACTAAAGCTGAATAATATCTTAAATTTCTGTTATCCTATGTACATGGAGACACCAAAACTATAATTATTTATTAAAATGTTGTGGGTTAATTAAACAAAATCTTTTAAATGTCCATACGTTATGAATGGCTTATCGATGTTTTTACATATTAAAAGTGCTACCAGTACAGTTCTAGTGAAAAGCGTGTACTTGTTGTGAGGAGAGTAGTTTTATTTAAAACTGCGTTCTGTAAAATAAATGGTTGTTGCACATACCAAAGTTATTTTCCTAATTGCCTGAATCTTGAATGCCCAAAGTGTGAAATATTTTTATGGATATTTGTTTGTGGTGTTATTCAAAGATAGCGCCATATTTCATAAGACTCTATCACTACTTTTGGTATTGAAATCGTCAGTACAATAGATGGCACTCTTGTATTTACTATTTCGGTCACGTAGATAACTATATAAACGACCACATCATTGCTACATTATAGCACGATAATCTCTGTTATACTTTATAGTTAGATTTAAGGAAACGTAAAATTAATTTTAAAATATGGTTTCTCTTTATGGTATCATTCTCTGGTAAAAAAAAAAACACATAGAAAAAATATGGTATCAATTTGTGATTTAAACTTTTCTTTAATTCCAATGTGTATTTCAGTTTCAACTTCAAGAAAATAGCTTAATCAACAAAAGTAATTACACAGCTTTTACAGCTAATAATATTAAGTTTCCATTATTTGGCCTAATGATACTGAAACAAAGCTCAACATGCAAAATCTAAACGAAGTTTTTTTTTTGTTGTTGTTTTGTTTAACTATTAACTATAAATCAAGGAAGCTTTCTAAAATACTTTAAAGGTTACCAGAACATTAATTATGTGTATCGGGTTTTTTTCAGCGTTCACTTTCCTCTCACCTTATATTTTATAAAGTTATAAAGCGTAACTTTAATGCTCTGGTGGATGTTTCCTTGTGAAACGAAGTGAATAAAGTCTAGAGACATATTTTTTTTTGGTCTTCCTAGTAGCGTAACAACTAAATCAAAATGTGATTGGCAAATAAAGCTTTGATGTCTTTAAGGTATTTTAAAATGAGTAGTGACAAAATTTGAAAGAACAAGTTGTCCTTTTTTTAAAATATTAGTTATTGTTGTAGGTTACTTCACGAAACGTATGTATATAGCCTAGGTTATAGTTTTAGGGGATGAATAATATAACCAGTATAAATAAATTAAACACCTTCAAATTACTTTATAGTTTACACTTTATACATATCCTCATATTAAACTTTAGTTTAAAGTTAAGCCTACGTTAACAGTAGTTTCCCAAACTTGAACGACACCAGCATACAGGCCTACCGAGAGGGGGGGGGGGCGAGGGAACAACTACCCCGGGGCCTGTGCATGCCCAAGGGCCCAT